AAAAAACAACAAAAAAAAAAAAAAAAAAAAAAAAAAAAAAAAAAAGGTGAAATCTAGCTAGAACAAATAAATCAGGGATGACAACAGAAGTTTAATGAATCATTTTGAAGAAAATTAGTATTTAATCATAATCAAAACACACATTTTGGCCATATAAATGTGTACTCAAAGACACCAACATTAATACTTTCAAAATATTTCAAAAATATACTCCCCAAGTGCGTATGTTCTGGAAGTAAAAATATATATCCACACGGAAAGGAGAAATAAATATTTGGCCTACTGACAAATTTAAGGCAAATAATTTCTAAATTTCATGAGAAAAACATTAACACTTACATTTAAAGTATTAACGATTTTTATTTTAATTTTCCATACAACGGGCTATTAACTTAGTCATCGAGTCACTTCATATATCATGCTTTTTATTTAATGATTTATGCTTATACTTTTAAAAGACAATACAAGCAACTAATTTTCTACAAAGGCTTTTGGCTTATATGCAGGCTTTTCTGACTGTTTTTCTGCAAACTAGTTTAAAAAAATCTTCACTAAATGATCACTGCTACATTCAGGAAAACAGGAGTTTTCCGAAATCTTGTGGCAAGAACAAGATACAAGATACAAGAACAAGAACAAACATAAATCTTAATAAAAGATACCATTTCACAATAAAAAAAAATTGTAGTGCACATATATAGTGCACAAGTTAAAAAATTAAAAATTCCACAATCCATAGTATAATTGTGCTAAGGCCTCTCTAACCATTTCCCTGCAGCTTTGCAGCCCTTTAATTTTTCTAGTATGATTTATCAGTTATAGTTACCTTCTTATTAGTACAGTGAATGTTTTGTTTTTTGATAATTTTGTACATTTTTGATTGACTTAAAACTTGTTATAGTTTCCTCTTCACCAAAATTTTTAAAAAGTACTCAAAGACCCCAACATTAACACTTTCAGGGGCTAAGAGAATTCTATACTAACTCCACATTACATGTACTGACAGCAACACAGACTATATTTCTTCAGGGTTTTTTGACATCTATGTGCACACAAATATTTTTTAAAATACAAATAGGTCGAGATATATTAAGCTGGTGGCCTCTATATTTCGAGGAGATATTTCTCTCAACTAAGTTAATTATTTATGCAGATAAAGAAGAAAGGCTGATCATGATGTGCATGATCCAGAGATGTCTGTTATAGTAACTTATGCAAATTCATAAAACATCAACAACCATTTGATTATAAAAGTATGAGAAAAGAAATACCAGATTCTCCAAAAGATTCAGTGATTCTATCCTGCTTCTTTCTGTAAAATATTTCAAATATTTTATAAAAGATTTTTAAGTTGATTGCAGAAAAAGAAAATAGGTTAATAAATGACATAATAAAAGATAAATATTCATAAATAAGTAGGAAGAATATGAAAGTATTGCTGTAATTCAGAACAGAATCATTAAATGAACTGTGACACCTGATAAATTGATTTTCCAGCTAAGTTTATACAGACCTAAAATCAAGGATAAAGCAGTGAGGACTCTTAAGGGAGAAATACGAAAAGTCACTGACTATAGAAAGAAAATGATCACTTCAGGACCAAACACCTCTCAATAGAAGAGCTACAGTGAGGAATAAGAAATGTGCTCATCAGCTATGGCCACCCTGGAACAGCAAAAGGAAGGAGAGAAGAAACCACGTAAGAAAACTAAATTTTTCTTTAGGGAGAGAAGAATAAAATTAATCTCTTATTAAGTCTCCTAAAAAGTAAGAGGTAAATAACATAAGAATTGTATTTTGAATCTTTAACTGCTACGGCTAAAAACAACTGGGAACATAATAAATAGCAAACCAGGACTCAACTTCTAGAAATACAGATTCAATACATAATTACTTTCATCATCAAAACTAGATTAAAATGTGTGTATTAATGGAAAAGAGAATGAAAATAGCCATCATATGAGAACCTCTCGGAAGACTAAAAATATAGTTACACCAAGTTTCTCCAAGAAAAGAAAGATGTAAATTAGATATTGATGATTTGGGGTTTTTAGGCAAAGAGCAATTAAAGTTTAGAGAATAAGAGTTAGGGAGACAATCTCTTAATTAAACTTTGAGCCATTAGTAATCTTATGTTGTAAAAGTTGAAATAATAAATTATCTAGAAAATAATTTCTCTAGAACAAAAAGTCAAAAAATAAAGATCCATGGCCCAAAACATTATTACTACTATTAGAGTTTTTGGTTTTTTGTTGCCATTTTATTTCTCTTTCTGGAAGGTAGAGAAGGGGTGCCACTGAAGATATGACAGAAAAATTTTAGAAGACCAAAACTAAAAGCAGTTCATGAGAAAACAATGTATCCTTCAATGAGGAAAGCTACTGTCTGGATGATGCAATTTTCTAGAATATTTTGCTATTTTAGGAAAATACCAACATATTTGTTGATATTGGCTTATAACAATAAATTTATTAACAGCTACTCACAAACTAAATGAATTACGAAAAACTTCACAGAGCTCATTCTAATACATCTTGTATTCTTGTTTCTGCCTAAATGTAAGAATCAATCTATATACAATCACTAAGTTCTTTCTAAAATGGACTCCATGAGGCCAGTAAGTTCTAAGTTACATCATCAAATTTATCACACAGCTTTGACATAACATTTGGTAACAAAACTAATCCAATAATTAGCAAACAGATAATTTATAATTAACCTGCACATATATACATCAATATATATGCAGTAAATGCAGTGTAAAATTGTATATAACTTAAAGTGTTTTTCTTAATTTCACCTGTAACTAAAATAATAAATGATACATGCATATCCAACAGAGATTTGAATTTGACAACTGCTGGATATAATTTAGTAAAATTCAAAGTAACAAACTGGGAAAAAAACAAAATATGCATAAAAACCCATTTCACACGTAGAAATTTTTGGCGAACATGTAAATAAGGGCACCTATTTCCAAAGCATAATACAACAAAACATTATACAAAAAAAGTAATTCCAATGCATTCATTTTTATTGTAGTTCAGTGTAAGCATTAAATTCAAATCTTACTTTAGGGGTAGCCAGTTATAAGTAAATTCAAAATATTATTCCCCTTGCAAATTTTGTATGACTCTCTAATTCTTTAGAGCTATGTATTTTCTTCAAAATAGTTTATGCCTTTGTACAGAATATGTATCACGTACCCATGCCTCTGTCTGAATGGGCTTGATATTGCTCAGTAGCACCTCTTCATAGTTTCCGTAGTCAGTGAATTTAACAACTGCCGTCATACCCGAAGAATGGAGGGCTTCAACTTCTGCCCGGTAAAACTGAGGGGGCAAAAGGAGTTTTAAATATGACAATTGGTATTGTCTATAAAGGGCAATATTTGAGGGAAATGCAAATTCTTAAAGTGTTCCAATGTGTAATATTCTTTAGAAGGAAAACTTACCTTTGGAGCCCTTTGACTAACATTAGTAAGACAATTCTTTTTATTTTTTTGAGACAGGGTCTTGCTCTGTCACCCAGGCTGGAGTAAAGTAGCAAGATCTTGGCTCACTGCAACCTCCACCTCCCCAGCCCAAGCGATCCTCCCATTTCAACCTCCCAAGAAGCTGGGACTACAGACGTATGCCACCACACCTGGCTAATTTTTTGGTATTTTTCGCAGAGATGGGGGTTTCACCATGTCGCCCAGGCTGGTCTCAAACTCCTGAGCTCAAGCAATCTGCCTGCCTTGGCCTCCCACAGTACTGGGACAAAAGGCGTGAGCCACTGTGCCCAGCCAACAATTCTTATATACTATTCAGAATATATAACTATAGAGTAATTTATTTTAAAAACAGAAATATCTGACTAAAAAAAAAAAATTGCAAAAAAGGCGGCTCATTGTTTCAGTCATCACAAGTGGCTGGAATGAAGTAGGAATGTCAGGTAAGAAGCTAAGCCCATCACTTAAATCCAGTATTTATAGGATTAAAGACATTGCAAGTCCAGAGACTTACCCGTTTCCTTAGTGTTAGCAGGCTCTAAGAACTGATGCATATTAACAAACTCGCAAGGAACTGCTTTACTTAATAACTACAATTTTATCTACTTATTTATTTATCTTTATTTCTAGAGACAAGTTCTCACTCTGTTGCCGAGGCTGGAATGCCGTGGTATGATCACAGCTCACTGCAACCTCAACCTCCTGGGCTTAAGTTGTCCTCTTGCTGCAGCCTCCCGAGTAGCTGGGTCTATAGGTGCATACAACCATACCTGGCTAATTTTTAAAAATTTTCAGAGACACGGTATTGCTAGGTTGCCCAAGCTGGTCTCAAACTCTTGGCCTCAAGTGATCCTCTCTACTTGGCCTCCCAAAGTGTTGGGATTACAAGCATAAGCCACTGTGTCTGGCCAATAACTACAATTTTAAAATTTATCTGTTAAATTAACTGGGAATAGGTCATCTGATTGCAGTAATCTTTCAGTACAGATCATCCCATCTAGGATTCAAATTGTAGGTCTGAATATTGCTTAACTACAATTTTAAAATTTATCTGTTAAATAACTAATATATAGCTCTATTTATCTGTTAAATTAACTGGGAATAAATCATCTGATTGGAGTAATCTTTCAGTACAGATCATCCCATTCAGGACACAAATTGTAGGTCTGAATGTTGCTTAGTAAATGTGAAATGGAAACAAAGAACAAATTGCTGTTAATGTTTTCTTCAAGCTAGGGTATTTGAATGCTCTATTATAGTATAACACTATCTACTCTAATAGTATCGCTCTTTTTTTTTTTTTTTTGAGATAGAGTCTTCCTTCCTCTGCCGTCCAGGCTGGAGCACAGTGGTGCAATCTCGGCTCACTGCAACCTCCGCCTCCTGATTTCCAATGATTCTCCTGCCTCAGGCTCCCGAGTAGCTGAGATTACAGGCACGTGCTACCACGCCTGGCTATGTTTTATATTCTAGTAAAGACGGGGTTTTACCATGTTGGCCAGGCTGGTCTCGAACACCTGACCTCAGGTGATCTGCCCGCCTCTGCCTTCCAAAGTACTGGGATTACAGACATAAGCCACCGCACCCAGCCAATAATAGTATCTCTTAAGAGGTTCACTAGAATTAGAAAATACTAAAGGCAACAAAAATTCATTTTTTCCTCATCCTTCTAAAAAATGAGTTACCCTCAAAATAGTTGGTTTTTAACTAGTATATTTAATATTACAAAGGTAGTTAGTGAATTCATGGTGTTTCCTTTTCAGGTCTGAATGTTAGCAAGTTTAGAGACATGATGCTGTAATTTTCCTCATCTTAGAGTTCTTGTTATACCTTCCGATCTCTCCCCTCTTCCTTTATTTCTTAGCCCCATACTTTTGTGTTCTGTAAATTGTTCTGAGTTGCCAAATTATGCCAGTTCAGGTAAATTAAACAAACACTGAATCATGCTATATCTTAGCATGACTAAGATATATGTATTTTTGACTTATGATATTTTCAACTCATGATGGGTTTATTGGGATATATATCCAATAAAAAGGCTAAATTCTATATTTATTCTACAAGTGAAGACTTTAACTAGAAGGAATGACATGGTCTAAGACCAGGATCACAGTATTGGCAATACTGGTGACAAATTTAAAGGGAATAAAGTTTCAGGCAAGGAAATCAATATGGAGGTTGTTGTAATGTTCCAGTTGAGGAAAAAATAGCTGAACTAGTTTAGCAGTCTAAAGGAAGAAGAACTTCCCTGAAATTCCCATATTCTCCTATGGAAATGAAGCTAGAGTCACTTACCAAGCCTTTCAAACATTTTGAACATTTCTTGGTGAATTCCAATCTCTTACTTCTGCTCTTGTCAAGGTCACCAATAACCCCACATTATCCAATACATGAAACACTTTTCCATCCTCATCTTAACCTCTCATGGGAGCATCAGATATAGTGACTATTATTTCTAAGGTAGCTACTGTTAGCTCAATAAACACTGATTTCCAAGTACTTCACTTTTTCTTGCCTCCACCATGAAGGAGAAATACTTAAATATAATGAATCTCCCACTACTCAAAACAAATAGTTCCTGAATTTTGGAAAGTAAGTGGTCTGAGTTGGAAGAATAAAAATCTGGATAGTGAGGACCACCTGCATCTGCGTTTCAAGCCTTCCTAATAGCCAGGAAGTGGCCATATGAAACAGTTCCAAATCTGCTGGTATTCCTGGGAACACCAGGCTTTTGCTTTTCCAGAGAAAAAGAAAAGACACACAGTGCTGTCTCCTCCTTTCCTTCCAGGCTTAAGTAAAGATGTGACAGAGATGCTGTTTCTAAACAATCATCATCCCACTCACACAAAAACCTTAAAAGCCTAGGCCATCTAGCTGTTTCACTCTGTACTCCTTATTCTATCATCAGGCAACATCTAACACTCTGCTTATACATCTAACACTCTGCTTATACCTCATTATTTAATGAACACAAGAAGGCCTGGTTCTTGACCCCAAATCCTATAGCATCCTTAATAAAGGATCCACCCAAATCCCTCGTGTGAATTTCAATTCCTTGAAATCTTCAGTTACCTTTACTTATACCATTCCCTTTAGCCACACACTCTCATAGGCACACCCTTACTGTATCAACTGCAACCTATAAAATATTTATTTTGGACCGGTGCGGTGGCTCACATCTATAATCCCAGCACTTTGAGAGGCTGAGGCGGGTGGATCACCTGAGGTCAGGAGTTTGAAACCAGCCTGGCCAACATGGTGAAACCCTGTCTCTACTAAAAAAAAATACAAAAAATTAGCTCAGCATGGTGGTGCTTGCCTGTAGTCCCAGCTACTCGGGAGGCTGAGGCAGGAGAACTGCTTGAACCTGGGAGGTGGAGGTTGCAGTGAGCTGACATCATGCCATTGCACTCCAGCCTGGGCAACAAGAGTGAAACTCCATCTCAAACAAACAAACAAACAAAAAATTATTTAGAATATTTTTCCTCTTTTGAGTTGCTTCTCACATCCTCCCAGACCTTTTGCTCTGTAACTCCCTTACATACATTTTTATTACCTTGCTATTGTCTTCATCACCTCACCATCCTACTTTCCTCATATATAAGTGCTCTCTCCACAATTAACTAATTAACAGAGTTAACAAATAATTATGAAGTCCCTATACTGTGAAAGAAGCAAGACTACAGACGAAAACCAGATAGAGTCCAGCCTTCAAGGAACTTAATATCATGGTAGTGCAAAGAGATACCAATTCAAGAACCAAAACAAAAAATATTTACAAATTGTGATAAAATTTAAAAAGTGATTAAGGCACTGATTAAGAGAATAATGTAAGTAGAAGTATGGGGCAGGTCAAAGAAGGCTTCTTCTAGGAAGTGAGGTTTGAGCCAAGCCCTCAAGGATGAGAAGACTAGCTGACAGAAGAGCAGGTTGGGCAGAAGGAAAAAAAATATGCCAAGTCCCCTTCTCTCTGATGGTCTCTCTGTCCCTTTCCCTTTCCTGTTCTCACTGTGCCGGTCTTCTAAGTCTTGGTTAGGCTTTTACTTGACCCACTGTACTCTTTCTGGCCCTCATCTTCTGTCTTTCCTTCCTTCTTTCCCCTACAATTTTTCTCTTTCCCTTAAGCCACCATATAATATAAAACTAAAAATTGGTTTAATAATTTTTACACTTGATCTTAGCCAAAAGGCCGAGAAGCGATGGTTTAATAATTTTTAAATCATTACAAGATAAATAATTAACTTACATGTTAACTTTTTTAAAAAGTAGGCTGAATGTGTACTATTTTCTTTAACTGAAAATCTGCAGAATTTCATTTTGTGCCACTCAACTGATTTTCTTCCTTGTGAATCAGCGTAATTTTACCAGAGTGAAAAGCAAACATATGTAATTCAGCTGATGATAAGTAAAATAAAGTTCAACTTCACATAATTACTTTTACAATATTTTTCTGGCACGTAAGCTAAAGCCAAACTGAACTTAACCAAATCTTATGGGACAGATTGTCCCCAGGCATCTATAAAAATATTAAATATTTTGTTTATCCTTCATATATCTATAAATCTGTTCAAAGATTTTAAACAGGTACGATAGTAGGAAAAAACTCATAGTTCCAAAGTGACAGCTTCTAGAAAGTCCCACTAGAATGTAACATTTAGTAATATTAGTGTATAGTATCTTTAAAGCATCCATACCTTGTTGTCCTCCCAATAAAGTGCAAAACATTCATCTCCAGGTTTCCACATTTTTGCATACTCCATAGGAATAGATGATTCTAGTATTTTTTCTGGCTTAATTGGCCCAGTTCTTCTTTTGGGCCCACTACTGTAAAATATTTTATCATCATAGGGTATAGTTGTGACAGGTCCTGCTGGCTTAATAGGTCCTATTCGTCTTCCTTTCAGTGGCATTTCTACTTCTCCATTTGGAACACCAATGAAACTATTACTTCGAACTGGATTCTGATTATCAGTATTTACATTAAAATGTTTTTCAATTTTTATACCACTGAAAGCTTCATTATTTATTGTTTGTGATTTCCTGTCATAAAAATAATCAGAAATAGATGTTTGATTTTCTCTTTTTCCACGTTTTTGATTATTATAATCTACACATTCTTGAGGAAGTGGATTTTCTTTTGCCTCTGCAAAGCAGGGACCTTTTCCTGATCTGCTTTGCATAGAGTTATCTCTTTTTTTAAAAGCACCATCACTATGCTGAGAACCTAAAGGATATGAAGTATCTTTAGTTCTGTCATATCTAGAATACGGTCTATCACATTTGATTCTGTCTTCGGCCCATACTTCAGATGCTGAAGAAGTACTCGGTCTTTCAGAACCTCTATTTCGAGGTAATCCACTGCCTTCTAAAACTGGCTTTGAATTTTGGGAGTCTCTTTGAAAACGAGGTGGTTTTTCATTTCTTGGCTGCCTGGTGTCATTTCTAGGAGGATGTCTCAGATGATTATTATCTTTTACTCCATTTTGCTCAGTATTTGACGATCTGTATTGTCCCTGATGAAGCTGCTGTGGCTGTGATTTAGGTTCTGAAAGGTAAAAGTATACCATATGCAAATTAGGATGAAGACTCTGCATTAATAATTATTTCAAAATGCTTTATTCTATTAATACAAAATTATCAAACTACTATTCTAAAATCTTCTTCCATCTTCCTACATCATTATCTTACTCCTTCTCTGCTTCCTTGGAGTCCTGCATTTCTAATGTACAGTTTTCTTAGTCAGCAACATTAATAAAGCAAAGTAGTAAAATGGACCACAGAAAAATGGTGGATAATCCAAATTCTTATAATACAGCTACTTACATATGCTATTCTGGTAAATCATCTCCTAAAACATTAATGAAACAGATCTGCAAATTGCTAACTCAGAAACTGCTATGAAACTGCACAAGTACAACCCTGATCAACTCTTTCTGAATGCCACTCTAATTTAGAAATATATAGCTATTATTATCAGTCATGTTCTAGCCTTAGCAAAAATGTTTCTTTTCAAATCTTTCTGGATCTGGGAATTGCTACGTGTTTATGTTACAAACAGATATCCTACTATAAAAAAAGAGTTTATGTTACACATAGATATCCTACTATACAAAAGAGTTAATTTTCTTGATCTGTCAAAGTAATTAAGAGTAGGTACTACTTGGAAATACAGAAAAGTGTCAAAAGTGGAAATACCAAAAAAGTGTCAGAAACATTACTAAGCATAACAGTGCCTATAATGTCCAAGAAGTAACATGATAAATATAGATAATTTTTGATGGCTATATTTCACATAGTGATTTTTATTCTGTTTCAGTTTGTACCATGTCACTTATACTTTCTTCCTCCATAATTTCACTTAGCATGTCTATAACACGATTACCAAACATACCAAACATACTCATTGGTCTTTGGTGTATGTGTCTTGTTTCTCTCATCATACATCATAATCAACATGCAGCTGTAATTATTCTTATATTTCCCCAGGGTTACAACTTTTCCAATGAGAGCCTCCACTGACATCTTGGGTGAGACTGTTCCCTCTGTTGCAAGGAAATTAACTACAAGAAAATTAACTTCATTGGCCTACAGATACAAAATGCCAAAAGACCCTCCCCCAGCATCCCCAGGCATGCTTACTGTCAAAACTTTCCCCAAAACATTTCCAAACAGCCACCGGAGGCCAAAAGGTATCTGGTAGATTGTTTAAAACAACAGGAATAAACGTTTAAAGGTTACTGAGTGACAAAACAGGTCATCGATTAAAGATCAAAGCTCAAAGTGGTCAGGTCAGGCATGGTGGCTCACACCTGTAATCCACGCACTTTGGAAGGCTGAGGCAGGTGTATCATTTGAGGCCAGGAGTTTGAGACCACCCTGGGCAACATGGCAAAACCCTGTCTCTACTAAAAATACAAAAATTAACCAGGTGTGGTGGTGCATACCTGTAATCCCAGCTACCCAGGAAGCTGAGGCAAGAGAATCGCTTGAACCTGGGAGATGGAGGTTGCAGTGAGATGAGATTGTGCCACTGCTCTCCGGTCTGGGTGACAGAGCAAGACTCTATCTCAAAAAAAAAAAAAAAAAAAAAAAAAAAAGACTCAAAGTGGTCCAAAAAAACCCATTCTCAACCGAACCAATGGAAGCTAGAAGCCAAAAGGCTATAAATACCTTTAAAATTACGGAATATTTTCTAAGGAAAAAATTAATCCAGTCAAACCATCCCTTAATTGTGACAAAGAATGAAGATTGTTCTAAGATACAACATTTCAAATATTAGCCAAGGCCATAAGAGAGATCTTTAAAAAAAGAAAAAAACACTTTCCCTCAAGAATATCTGCCTAATAAACATAATATAATGTCTTATTTTAACAAAAGCAGTCAATATTAAATTTTTCTTTAGAGAGAAGAAAAATGATCACTTTTAGTTTCTGCTGGCATTGTTTACTGTTCAGAAGTAAAGATTCCAGGAAGAACAGCAGTGACCAAAATCAGGACCCAAATGAGCACTTTCAGAGAAGGCATGTATTGGCTTTTGTTCCAGACATTTTTAGAGAATAAAAGCAGCAGTTGCCTCCTGTTGATTATCTGCTATGTATTAGATAGCCCACACTAGCACTTTATATACATTATCAATAGTCCCCAAGATAGTTTTATGATATAGATGTTATGAGGCTTAACAGAGAGAAGTAAAGTAAGGTCCCTTGTATAGTACATTGAATAAATAAGTATTTGGGGAGAGGGCTCTTCAGATCTGCTGTTTAGGGATCAATTTTTTCTTATATTATTCCAGTGAGGGCCCCTAATATCTATGATAATCAGGAGGTAGGGAAAAAATTAAGTCATGATGAGAGTAACTAAGTATCCTGGACTACAGATGAAGGATGAATAATGATGTATACAGAATGAAAGTTCAACCAGGCTTGGCAGATGTGGCAGAACTTGATTTCAATTCTTCTAAAAGGAAAATATAAAAAATTTCCTAATGTACAATTTAGAATTAAGGGGTACTATGGGTCTATGGAACTATACTGGAGAACTATATTAATAGGAAAATATAAAATCTTTTCACTTTGTTCCAGATCCAATCTACTTAAAGAATTTCTAATTTTTTATTATTGTTTTTACTAACAATTAACACTTTCATTTATGTACTCAAGCACTCTCATGCACCAACCTTCTTACAGCAAAAGTACTATCCTAGAAAAGAGAATGACAAATTCCTGAAGAGCTTATTATTTAACAAATAAACAAGCTTAGGAAACTGCTGATAGTAAAAAGGAAAAATCATTACACTTAGTACTTAAAATATTATTTTCAGTTACTGAACTGATGATGATGTACATTAGACTATAGAATAAAACTAGTAATTTTGTTAATAATGAACATATTTCATTTCCATTACTATGCTGAGATAACATAGTGAGAGTAAAATTTACAAAGAAAATTATTTTTTAAAAATAAGAATTCCTGGCCAGGCGCAGTGGCTCACCCCTGTAATCCCAGCAATTTGGGAGGCCAAAGCAGGTGTATCACCTGAGGTCAGGAGTTCGAGACCAGCCTGGTCAACATGGTGAAACCCTGTCTCTAATAAAAATGAAAAAAGTAGCCAGGCTTGGTGGCCTGGCTCTGTAATCCCAGCTACTCGTGAGGGTGAAGTTGGAGAATTGTTTGAACCTGGGAGGTGGAAGCTGCAGTGAGCCGAGATTGCACCACTGAACTCCGGCCTGGGCAACAGAGTGAGATCCTGTCTCAAAAGAAAAAAGGCCGGGCGTGGTGGCTCACACCTGTAATCCCAGCACTTTGGGAGGCGGAGGTGGGCGGATCACGAGGTCAGGAGATCGAGACCATCCTGGCTAAGAGAGTGAAACCCCGTCTCTACTAAAAATACAAAAAAATTAGCCGGGCGTGGTGGCAGGCACCTGTAGTCCCAGCTACTCGGGAGGCTGAGGCAAGAGAATGGCGTGAACCGGGGAGGCGGAGCTTGCAGTGAGCGGAGATTGAGCCACTGCACTCCAGCCTGCGCAACAGAGCGAGACTCTGTCTCAAAAAAAACAATTTCCTTAATACAGTAAAATAAACTCACAAAGGTAGAAAGTGAAAATTGTGGGGGTTTTCTTGTTTTTTTTTTGGTTTTTTTTTTTGAGACAAAGTCTTGCTCTGTTGCCCAGGCTGGAGTGCAGTGGCATGATCTGGCTCACTGCAACCTCCGCCTCCCAGGTTCAAGTGATTCTCCTGACTCAGCCTCCCGAGTACCTGGGATTACAGGCACCTGCCACGACGTCTGGATAAGTTTTGTATTTTTAGTAGAGACAGGGTTTCACCATGTTGGCCAGACTGGTCTCGAACTCTTGACCTCATTATCTACCTGCCTAGGCCTCCCAAAGTGCTGGGATTACAGGTGTGAGCCACTGTGCTCAGCCAAAAATTGTGTTTTTAAAAGAAGATAGTTTCCATATATATCCATTTCATTGAAAATGAAATACTTAAGAAGTCATTCTTGGATTTCCAATCATTCTTGGATTCATCATCCATTCCTGGATTTCCTTAAGCCCAATACCTTTTATCTTAGGTTAGTTAAATCATAAAGTCATATATAAAGTCAGTATTTTGAAACTGAGCTCATCTATTAAACACATAATAAACATACTCAATTATTAAATTGTGGGAGAGGCAATCTTCCTTCCTCCCTCCCTCCCTCCCTTCCTTCTTTCCTTCCTGCTTGCCTGCCTGCCTTCTCTCTCTCTCTCTCTCTCTCTCTCTCTCTCTCTCTCTCTTTCTTGAGATGGAGCCTCACTCTGTGCCCAGAGCTGGAGGTACCACAGTGGTACAATCTTGGCTTAGTGCAACCTCCGCCTCCCGGGTTCAAGCAATTCTCCTGCAACCTCCGCCTCCCGGGTTCAAGCAATTCTCCTGCCTCAGCCTCCCAAGTAGCTGGGATTACAGGTGCAGACCACCACGCCTGGCTAATTTTTGTATTTTTAGTAGAGACTGGGTTTCACCATGTTGGCCAGGCTGGTCTCAAACTCCAGACCTCAGGTGATCCACCTGCCTCGGTCTCCCTAAGTGCTGTGATTACCGTGAGCCCTGTGCTCGGCCAGAAAAGCAATTTTAAATAAACTAAGGAATATATCCCAAATCAACTGAAAAGGCAGCTCCTTGTTTCCCTGGTCAGAATCTAATTGTTCTCCTCTACCCTTTTTAAGAAGACATCATAATTCTAAACTACATTAGAAAGCAAGGGGCAGCACAGGTCAGGTCTGCAATCACTCTAATAAATATATTAATATATTTTTCTGTACAGACAGCAGAGTAAAATGCATCACATTTTTTTTTTAATCCGCCTAAAGGAAAAGGTGAAAAAAAAAGCACAAGTAGAAACGGGTAACATTTAACATTAAATAGTAGAAAAAAGAAAAGATTAGTAAAAAAAAATGATAGAAAAATGTATTACAGGACCAGTGCTGTGGCTCATGCCTGTAATCCCAGCACTTTGGGATGCCAAGGTGGGTGGATCACTTGAGGTCAGGAGTTCAAGATTAGTCT